GTAGGTCATGCTCGTGGACATGCAGTCACTGAGCACGCCACTCACAACCCAGGTGGAATTACTCGAAGTTGTGAAGCGTTTTATGTATCTTCTGAGTTGTGTTAGTTCTGATTGTAGTGCAACATGGGGTCAATGCACGAATCTGCAAGGGTTGGGTCGCGTTTGCTAATTTGAAACACCCATGGCATCAAAGCGCCATATCCATGAATTTCAAGAAACGTGTATACCAGGCTACAGTGCAAAAATATTACGCGCCTATCACTCACATATTGCAACTTTATGCTTTAGAACGTGCAGTCTGCCCCTTGCAGTTCAAGGAGAGGCATTGAACATTGTGTAGACTTTTACGTGCTTCGATAGTTGAATTCTCTTTGATGGAAGTACGTCTGCTGAATTTGGCCTATGAATCTCAAAGGCCAGAATTATGCATGCAGATTTGCATCACTTATGTAATCGAAAAGCATGTAACTGGGTATTAATGATGTTGCATACTAGGCCACAATAGGGACTTGTAGTTGTGGGAGATGGTCTCAGAGAGTGGATGACGTAGGAGTCTTCAGGCTTTTGACCACCGATTTCTCTGAAGCGCCGCTGGTACCAGTTGACGGTAACGGGTTCATGAGGGGTTTATAAAACGGGCGTTTGATTGTGCAATAGACATGTCGTTAGTGGAAACCATCCAGGTCGGTGTCCTGAACCTGTGTTATGTGTGCGGAAACACGGTCTCCTGGGACGAGTATTGTTCACTGTCAAGCGAAGTATGACCGATGTTGTGTCCGTTTCCCTCTTTAACTCGTCCGCTGGCGATACATTTCACGGTTCAACCACGCAGCGAGCAAACAATAAGATATGCGGACTACGACAATATTCTATCCCCAGCTATGTTGTTTGATCCAGACTCCTAGCACGGCGAATAGTAAGAGGACGAAAAACCTCGGACACAACTTTAATGATCCGAACAACACGCGATCAGCAGGCGAATCCCTGGAAAATGACTATATATATATATATATATATATATATATATATATATCCATACTTTGAGCTTGAAAAATACCGGAAGTTCGTTAGCACACACAAAGTTACATAGTTTTTTTTGGATATTGATATCCCCAACAATATCCTATGGAAATCAACCGGGATACAACTTATACTGAATGCAAGAAATGAAGTACGCTAGTACCGTCGTTATAATGAGAGAAGACGCGGTAGCCATCTTGGAATTTATAACTTCTTGGCGATCGAGGCGCCCTCCCAGTGAATATTTTTTCACCTCTTAAATGCAGTATCCTTCCAAGACCGGTAGGAGCCGCGATCGACAATCGTGGCGGTGGCAGTGGTCACATGGTTAAACTTGACAAGTTGGTCTATCTGGGGGGTTATATGACATCTGGCGTTGGATAGGAGGCGTCATTGTGGACCACAAAGACTAGATCCGCACTTATCGACCTAAGGCACTTCTGACAACCAAATCGATCTCACCTAGAGGAATCGTCTACAATGATGCTGTGCGTACGGTGTTCATGTATAGTCTCGAAATCTGATCCAGCCTTGCTGAAGGTGTTCGAAGACTTTAGGTTTTTGGCACTAGTTATGGGTATATAATTTACAGCCTCTAGCAGCACCACCGAGTAAGCAAACAATGCGTCAGTTGCTTCTGGGCTCGTCCAAACTACCCCTAGGTAACCTATATTATCCCTCGGATCTGCTAGTTTGTGTCGCTGTCATACGTCAGCACAGCGTCCACTATTCTGCGCAATCTGTACGCACTCTGGACTAAACTAGAAGAAGNCGCACGTAACTCCGGGTTTGTGTTCGACCAAAGTGCATTCTAGGTTTCCAGGCCAGAGTTCAAAAGAATATAATAACCGTCCAGCAGTAACACCCTTCCTGTACCCAGCTACATGCTGCTCAAAGGAATCACATAGGTTAAGCTACTGCCAGGTTACGTTATCCTAGACACAAGCAGTCGAGGCGATGTGGTTGGGTTCAAATCTACGGACCTTCCGTTCAGGAAGTTCGCGTCCTGACCACTGGGCTGTCTCGAGCTCATGGTTCAAAAGACGCCATACAACTTTTGTAAAGGATGAAAAGAGAAGACACGATGGGTTCTGTTTTCCGAGATAAATTCAGGAAAGCGCAAGCAGGTAGGTGGTCAACCTTCGATCTGGCAGAGAAGTATGAGAGGTAACAAAAAGTCTGGGTACTGTTGGTGCGACTCACCTTCCAGTGTGGGGTCCGCATGATCTCCTCCGAACGTGGTTGGGGGCGCCCCAATATGTAGCTGCTAATCGTTATCAATACCTTTTTTGCCGATATTTCCTACCCACGGTATCTGAATGAGTGTCTGAAGGTTTTGCCATATCGGAATGATTGTGGTTCACCAGCAATAAGCCGTTTCTCCATCCACTTTTATTATTTTGTTTACAACAGGACTTGAAAGTAATTTGTTCATGCAGCAGCAAACTATCTGCGTTGAACGCTCATGTGGGGCTGTCGATGATGATAATGTGGTACAGCGGAACTGGGTGAAAAGGAAGAAAATCACCCTTTGAAAATTTCAGAACAATTGCTACCAATGAAGCCTTATCAGAGGCTTAAAGAAAAATTATCAGCGACGGCAGCAGCGAAGGCCGAAATTATGACAACCCGATCAAACAAGCAAATTGATCATCCTGCCGCACATCGCAAATACATTCGAATTGACAGCAAGATGATTGAAACAAACGAGACTCCTAGTAGCCCACGAACCATTCGCTACATTAAGGACACTAACTTCAGCACTGCAAGACATGGTCGATGAGAGTGCAAGAAACGATATAGCATAGCAAATCGGCTTCATGGATGGTCATGAGTACAAAAATTGGACAAACTGAGCGAAATTCGTTCACGTGGATAAGGGAACGTAAGGCACCCGTAAGAAAACATTACCATGAATAACAAATTCATTAGATACGCGAATGCCTGTGGGAAGGTGAGGCAAGCAATGGGTTCCCGTAAGCATGGTGTTCTGGTTCAGACTCTGTAGACCATTGACTGTTGGTGGGCTGACAGTTAATCTGTTCTCTGGGCTTGATAACTCTTGCAACAAGTTAATATAGAGAAGTTGATCCAATCTACGAACCGCCACGCGCAAAGGTTATCAACTCAAGCGGATAACTTGAGAGGTACGGATTGGGACGAAGGTCCTTGATAACGGGTCGGAGAGATCAGGGTCTAAATCATCTGGATCTTGACCAGAAAGCAGACCAGCTAGCGAGCGAACGTGGTCGACAGTCTAAACGACTAGTCACCATCAGAAGTAACCCTCGGTTAATGATAGGCGTAGTGACACCAGCGCAGTATTGGTCAGCGCTTACCACTGTACTGCTAAACTATATAGCGCTAACCTGTTGCGCAGCAATCTCACCTAAACTAATGGCTGGACGTTTGCGATCAAACCACCAGGCCAAGCGAACAGGGCAACACCCATCCATTTGATCTCACCTAACAACATATACTGTAGTGGCCATACGTTGAGTTATTTTGCATAACGTATCCGGTTAAAGCAGGCAGTGGAAGAGTTCTTTGGGGTTAGTTTCAGCGTTACTAGAACCGACATATATGGTGAAGGGCAATGTTATGGAAGAATGGGAAACAGTAGCTTGGTGGTAAAACATGGATGTGAAAGTGAAACAATTAAAGACAATCACGGATGCCGGGCTGTTGTTGAGATTAAATGATTTGCTGCCACCAAAATTCCACCATTGAAGAGGCATCAATGCTGTTCAGTAACACTGGGGTATTTTCCAACTGTTCGTCGCAAATTGTACGGTAGATTGAGAACAATGAAACTTAACCGATAGTGTTGAGAAATGATCAAATAACGAAACGAACAAGCTAGATGCACTTCCGAACTAACCCTCGGTCACAAAAGGTGTTTTGTACCCATTTAGGGTCAAGAGGATAGAATCCACCAGAGAGGGGCCTCCCACGAGAGAACTATCTCTGTCTGCCTATTTGGGGTAGTATATTGGCTTGTTTTTAAGTGCATTTGCTCATTCCAAAGCGCAATTTCTAGAACTCAAGCTCAAATCCTAGTTCTCCCTCTTCATGACCAGTGTTTTTCATACGATGCGATTGGGGCAATGTTGACTGCGGTACAAATATCCCATCGTGGATTCGAATCCTTATTTTTGTGGCGCTTCACTATACAAGCTATTCATGTCTTCCATAAAGGTGGCTATTTAAGGCATGTCATAACACCGTCCACTTTCATTAAGATATTGAGTGTAGTGCACACGACGCATGTAAATAAATACTTGTTCAGATGCAATGCACTTTTGGTGCCTAGCTGCCATGCGACTCGAATGAAGTGAAAGATTTAGATACTGTCAGGTTGCTCAAGCCTAGACGGGAGCAGTCAGGATGCGGAGGTCGGGTCACGGACCTTCCGGTCATTAAGTTCGCGCTTTAAGCACTGGGTTATCTGCAGCCCAGACAGCGTGTAATAACGGTATCTTCTCAGCTTACTTCTCGTTCTTAACCTTCCAAGCTAGCGTTCCCATCAAAAACGACCACCAAAGGTGCACAATGTGTATTAATACCAAAAACCAGGTCAAAAACACTTGTAAAGTGCATGTGGCGAGAGCATTCCGGAAATTCTGATGCCTTCTAGATGCGCCTTTGGCACCCAGCAGTCGATGGATACTGGATCGTGACTGGTTGTTGGATCCAGACTTTCGGGTAATTGAAGCCCGCTTTGATGCTGCACCATCATTGCCCGATCTTTTGGTCAACCGCGTGCGGGGTAGGCTTATTGTGCGTAGCAGCGCCTAAATGCGAGCGGTGAAGCATTTCGGTGCGGGATTCCGCCTAACAGCGCCTGTGATTTTTGGAAATACTTGCCCACTCTGCTGACATTTGTGAACTAGCAGCTGCTCTGATTGTATTATACCTCCGGTGTTTCCTCTTATTTCAGATGGTCGGGACACAAACCATCGAAACAAACCATGAGGACATGATTGTATGTTGTCCAAACTTCGTTTATCTTACTTAAACGCTCTTGACAGCATGATGCCCAGTTAGACTACTATGGAACCACACTTGCAACAGCTTCTTCTGATGAGTCAATTAAAATCTTTGATGTGCGCAATAAAAAGCAAGTACTCGTGGCACACCTTCGTGAGTAAGTTCATGTTTGAATGAATCTACTGTTTCCTTTGTGTCCTGGCGTGAGTATCCTTCATCGTCACCAGTTGTGGTCCATGAAGTGGCTGACTGTCGCTGTGTAGCTTACTGATGAGAGGATAATCGGAGGATAATAGCTGGTATTTTCGACGCCTGCACTCAATGTTGTCAATACATTAATTTCGATTGTGTTCTTCTTAGTATTGAGCATTTCGACAGGGTTTAACGCAGGAACTCTCCAACTATTTCACCATGCCGCCCTGGTTCAGCTTTTGCCGACGTGGCACTAACCTCCCTGCGGGAATTTCGGAAGTTGAGTTTTGACACGAGATTGGACTTCACAAAGTATACAACACTTGGTTGCAGTTAGGTCGCCCAGCTCAGTTAACAATTCAACGACAATCAATACATCCTGAACTACCACTGTTCTTTTTAACCGCACACAACAATTCTAAATAACTTGGGGTAAACTACGTTCAAGTCCCGTAATTGGCTTGAAAACGTTTGACCATCATCAGTGCACGATTGATTGGCTCCAAAAAGATGGGTTGTTTTCTATCTATCATAATTCAGTCGACCATAAGTCAGCTCTTAAGCTGGAGTGTTCGGACTTTATTTGACCCTGCCTCTTGATCGATTACTATGCGGATCATGCGCAGCTTTTTATTGATATCGCTGCGTTTTAAGGGTTGGCCTATCCGGCTGCCGAACCAAACGTGTGAACATCCTCGAAACGAACTCCCATCGGTTTTGCCGCAATCAGATATCTCATTTGTCTTGAGCTGAAGCGCCAGCATTGCTCACGTCTCATAGGCTCTAAAATCACTAAGAATCACCGTTGTACGCTTCAGATGACCTTAGATATCTCGGTGATCTCCGTGTTCGCAATAACCCTAATTACGAGCAACTAAGATCGGCTGTCAACCGCGCTCCTATACGTGATATTCTGCTTGTACCTGGCAAATGGAATGCTCGTACCGACCTGTAAAAATACTTGACTGACTGTATCATGTTCGAGTGATTTCCACTCGTCTCCGTGCACGAAGATCAAGAAGGATACGACTTCGACTGGAACGACGTTCGCGTACTAGCGCAGACACGAACAAAGAACGTGAATCTGTAGAAGCATGCTAGTCCACCGAAGTTACCATGAAAAGACATTGAAATTAGCCCAGCTTACCAACTATTAAGGACAAGAGAATTTCAGACCTAAAAATTTCAAAACTGTACAAGAAACTAGAGGAGAAACTTGCAGTGAAAACAGGGAAGCTCGACTCTACGGACCGAATCAATTTGACCAGAATACACCTGCTGTCAACAAATCAGCTGACCAAAGCAAACGCAAAAAGTCATCAGATAAACCAACTAGACACAAAGATCAGTCTTTTTGAAGCTGAAGACGGGAGGGCACAGCAAACCAGTGTTGTATACTTCTAGGAATGAAATCCGTATGATTTTAACCATTAGCAAATCCATCGGTCCGATAACTGTTACAAGTCGTACTACTAGCTAGTTACTTATGTGTCACAGAAGGAAGCTGTGTAGAACCACAGATAAAAAACTCCACTCGAAGAGGAATTTCCATATCGCCAAAAAGCTCTCCATTGAAATACCCTGCAACGGAAATGTCCGCTTTACCAGTCGGCTTCGCTCCAAAAGTATCGCTGTATTTTTTCGCAGATTCTAGTCTTTTCGGTTCACTTTGTACTGGCCTCCTTTTCCTCGTTTTCATTTCCATATAGACATCAAGGACCCGTTTGGGGATTGAGCTGGTCTCATCCAATGTACGGCAGCCTGCTCGCCTCTTGTGGATACGACCGTAAAGTGATCATCTGGCAAGAGCAAAATGGTCGGTGGGGGAAAATCCACGAATATACCGAACACGCCAGTTCTGGTAAGTGTGGGGTGACTATGTGTCTTAGCTGTCAGATACCAGAAAGGCTGTTCAGTTGCACGATTAATCATCTGAAGTGCTCCTGGAGATGTACTCCAGAATCAGAATGACTCGACAAATCGGAACCAAATACTCGACTTAATAAATGTGCTTTAACAAAACATCTCCGGGGCTCTCATTCGATAGGGAGTTTCTCTTCGTGCTTTGAAAAGGATTTGAACACTCGAATAAGGCTGTGCCATTTCTCTTGGTTTTTAGCACACTGTCGACCGAACACTAAGCACCATAAATGAATAAAAAACTCTTGTACAGAGTGTAAGTGTATCCCATAATGGCCCGTACTTCTCTGAACACGTGTAACGTTGTTAAATCTGAACCGATCATAAAAAAATTTGCAACTAACTCAGTTCATTTCAGTGCATTCCACGCTCACTTGAATGATTTTATGTCATCTTGTTCCGCTTTCCATCAGTCCGTTTGAGGCGAATCTCAACATCATGTCATAGTATCCTGAAAAAAGTTGTTGACTATGCCATCATCAATGTTTAGAACCAGTTCCTGGTCTGGGCTACAAGAAGGGCAAACTCAAGCTCCTTACGACCACAGCCAAAACTATCAAATTTCTACCAGGAACAGAAGTTTCGCTTTTGCTCACTCTTGCAAACGTGTACAACCTCAGTGCAGTAAATACTGTAGACAGACATAGATTTCTACAGTCGTTCTGCACAATGGGTTATGCAACAGAACTTAGCCACAAGGTCTAGCTGGTTTTAGCCGCCGACGGGAGAAAGAACAAGAGGAAACCAACTGCGCAAGGAAGCTATGACCCAGGTAGTTTACGGGCGCCAAAGTCAGTCCTCCGTCTTTAGAACGGTCAGACGGGCCTTCGAGCATTGAATGATTGGCGCACTTGTGACCTTCCCTGAGCTTTGGGTTCAAAATACATTCTGTGGTAAAGCCAGTACCTCTTTGAATCGCCAGGCATTGACTGGATGATTCTTCTCTTTGTTAGAAAACATGTTCCATATTTTATTTGCCTCAGCAGCCACATGTCCACTCACCGATGTTAAAGAGGATATACAGAGGGTAGCTTTAGATTAGGGCCGATGATATCACCATTCCGTTGTGGTTTGTAGGTAAACTTAGCTAATCTAATTATAAAACAGTACATGTTTCTTTCTGAAAAGCTATTCACTGAGCGTTCCGTCCTGAGAGAGATTGATCCTGACGAATTCCAGCGCGAGGGCCAAACCAAGAAGTCACTCTTGTCATGCGCGTGTGATCAGTGGCTGCACGACGGCAAACGGTGGAAATCGTTAAGAGAAGGAAAGCGCGATCGATCCTGTTACATCCTACTAATGAGTCTAAACTATGGTGAAACTCGCAATGGGATTAGATTTCCAAACGACCCATGCTTTGTAATTAGGATCTCCAATCCATGTACATTAGTACTTTCCATGTGCTCTCCAGCAGACTGCGACTGCGTCATCTATAGATAACAGCCGAATTATCACAGATTGTGACCAATCGATAGGCAACCATTGGGTGATGCAATTGGGTCTCTGCCAATTCTGTGAGCGGACTCTGTCAGCAGAAAGGCGATGACGCTTGGTCTGGGTCCGAAGCTTCCGCGAAAAGTAACAGCGTTTGCGTGTTCTGTCAGACAACCGTCACATTGTACGACTAACTTATGATGCTCCACACACCCGTGCGAATGAGCACACAAAAAAGGATGGTGGCAACAATTGGAACCAAGCCCTTCAGCTACGGTCCGATTCTGCGGGAAGAACTGGAACCCAAACAAGTTTTAGACACCATAAATACAGACTCTATACAATTCATCAGTCTTCCGCAAATTAATTGAGTGATTGTTTCCCTCTCAAATACGAGGCCGATATAGTTGCGCTTCTCCTCCACCCCGTAAATTGCCTGCTTTTCGTAGATTCCATTGTTCTCAGTGTGAAATGGGCCGGGTAGCAATTTAGCACAAATGCTTGCATCCGTGTAAACAACCTCTTCATTGCTTTGATATAACACATTGCTTATAAGGTTGTCAAAAATTCTTCCTCAGTCAACTAACGGTTTCACCCTTATTGTGTCTCACCAGATAGGCGTAGTCCTGACAAATGGATCCTGTGTACTCTCCCGTTGATACCACCTTAATCTGCCAATGAGTACTTCGCAACATCTCTATTGAGCTTTCAGTGAGACGTCTGACAGTTTTGAGGGACTAAACGTCTGGGAACGTATACACTGACCGGTCTAGGTAGGTCCAAACCAAGAGCTGCTACCTTGACATGGTGATCGAGGTTGGGTGTGGACTTAACCGGTCAGAGCTTCGTTCTTTAAGGTTGAACCACGTCCGGAAGGCCAGAATGGCTAATGAGACAAAGAGCGGCAGGCCCCGCACTGCGATCAATCGTATTTCGAAGAGATCTGGGAATAAAGCCGTGGTGTCTTCTGCAACGGGAATGTGAAGGCAGTAGGGCGCTCCTCCCAGGCAACCAGGATATCCCTGCTTATGGAGACACTGATGCGAACCGAGGAAACGCAGGCTAGAAATCGCATCAACGTACTTTTCTGCCCCACCGGGCCATAGATTCTTTAGGGACACCGCTGACTGTCACCCTAAGTGTCTAACTTGCTGAGTTTCCTCTTAGACTCTCTATTCTGTAAGGCAACAGCATCCTGCCTCAATTCGGCTACCGCTTACGGCTTCCTAATAAAATACGGCAGTGAAGCATCGGTGTTGAACACTGATTTTATGCTGTCAATGAGAATGATGATCCTAATAAAAAGTGGTAATAATCAGCGAATATACACTCATTTGCATGCAAATTTGGTT